TCTTAGGGTTATAGGCGGGTTTGTGAATCTTGAAACTCTCTTACTTCCTGAAATAATTGAGTCTAAAACTGTGATAGCCCGAATATTTTCTGTGAACGACGAAATTGGCAAGAAACTTACTAAGCTTGTCTATAACCGCTTTATTGAGAAGAGTGAACTCGTCTATCTGAAAAGATGCTCCGAGTCAGTGCATCAATCTCTTATGTGGGATGATGAGGTGTCTATCAACACTTATAGTTCATGGCAATATAAGCGTTATATAACAACATTGAGGTTTGAAAAGGACGAGCATGGTCCATCATCTACACAAATAATTCTTGGTGAATTTCTCAGAGAATGTCCTCATTTGGAATGTATCGTATTGGTTAAGGAAGATTGGACTATTGTTCTGCCGAATCCGGATGATTCTATTGATCGGAAACTCAGAATCAAGTTCATTGAAATGAAAATTGATTCACCGACAATTCGTCAGATCTGTGAATCTAAACTTGTGAACAAGATTGTACTCGAAAGAGTAGAAATCACATACACCGAGCCTGTAGAAACTACCATTTCTGATATACCCAAAGTAAGTTTAGAAAGTTTTATTTGCATTGGATTAAATTTGCAAAATCAGGGATTTTATGATCTTCTTAAACAGACACAGGTGAAAAAAATGATATTTGTTGAATGCAGTATCGATGCAAAATTGTTAGATCAAGTTTTTAGCGGTGAACAAACAATTATATTAGAAGAACTGGAGTTTCAAACAAACACGTTAACGAATGCTCGTGAGTTTGGTATGAGCAAGCTACGCAACTTAACATCCATCAACATCATAAATATGACACGTGAACATGTTCCAAAGAAGAAAGGACTTCAGTGGTGCCAGTTTCCTGTCGAGTCCAATATTTCCAGCTCTGGCTCATCTAATTCACAAAACGATACGTATTGCACTATGCTAAATCTATCCCTTCATGTTCAACTGACTTCTTTAGTGATCGATCTGTGTCCTCAGAACTATTCACTTTTCAAAAAACACGTGTTTAGAGCACGAAGTCTTAAAAATCTTACCTTACATGCTATACATATATCCATCGATATGTCCAAGATTCTGGAAAGAAACTGTTCAATCGAAACTATATGCGTGGTTGGGTACGAGCAAAGTACAGTGTTTGCTACGAAACATAAACATGTGCGCTCAAATTGCAAAAATTTAAAATTAATAGATTTTACCATCAGTAACGAAGATTTTTTTAAGTATGTTGCTGGACTTAAGTACATCGAAAAACTTAATGTAAGTCGGTCAGTAGTAGACGTTAATTGTGAAGAAATGGTTCAAACACTTGGTAGTCACGAATCGAGAGCAAGATTGGTCATACGTATTAAATATGCTGATGGGTTAACCAGAGCATTGACAAAGTCTGACTTGGACATGAGAAACCATAGAGTGTCTTTTATAGTGGTTAATTAAATTGTGGTTGGTATAATAAACACTGATTACCATCTTTTTGTGGCAATAAGCACCATTTTCTCTAATAAAACGGAACAAAGCTTAATCGTTTATTGAATATTATTGTTTTATTTTAGTACGTCATTTTACATTTCTGTAGCCACCTTCGCCAATTTTAAATCATTCGGTAAGCGTCCAAAAAATTTATTTCGGGTTGACAATCATTTCATCCTACTGTTTTTCGTAAACGATAGTTGAGAACGTGTTGGATAAATGTCTATGTACTAATTTTTGATTTGCAATTTTGTTCTTGAACTGAATAATCAGCTTTTAGACTGTCTTTCATTCAACAAGTAAAGATACCGATATTCTTACGTTAGAAACGAACATAAGTCTTAGGACTGAAAATCATTAGACTCTATGCACTAATTGTTGTTTCCCTCTCAAAAATAAATGGAGATATGACACAACTACGGATAAGGCTAAATGACAATTTTAAACGAAGAATAGAAATTATATCAGGTACAAAACGCATATATATTCTATTTTTATGAATATAAATAGCGCAGCTAGTCTTGTATAGAAAATATGAATAATCTAAATACGCCAAAGTTACATTTAAGGCATACATCAAGAGAACCCCATAATTAAACATCTTTTACTTAATACTTGAACTTATATGTGAGAAATACTAAACAGACTGTCACTTATGCTATTCATAACTTGCGAGTGAATCTCAAGAATTTGCATATGCTAGGTATTACACGAGTGTCTACACATATTATCTGCGACTATTGCATGTGACAACTCTGCGTTTACTGTTAAATGCCATACATAACTGTTTAGATATATTGTTTAATAATTATGTATATTTAGCACGTCCTTGGATACCATACCTCGAATAGCCTGCTCTTGAAAATTAAACCCACAAATAGTGGATGATTGTCGCTGTCGATGGGAAGTCATACTACAACCGTGTGTTGCCTGTAAAATTATTTCATGATGGTCCGTACATCAGCTCTCGATTCAGTCCTGGTATTTTCAGGAGCAATAAACTTTTTCATTGGATCATCGACGCACCCCATGATAAAATACTTGAATAATGAATTCCCAGAAAACTGTATTATCGAGTTTTGCATATTACCAGATTTTCCAATATATAGGTTGTTAGATAGCATTGTAACAGATCTTGGCATGGTATATATTGACACGCGTGGCACTTTATCCACGACAAAAAACTGCTATAGGTTATTTTCTCATCAGGAATACAGTGAATTATTTATACAATTGAAAGTTATGAGAGATAAATTGATAATAATAGATTCGGTAACCGCAATTGTGGATAGTTGTGATGATGGAAATGATATTATTGGGGTGTACAACTCGCTTTGGGAGTTAATTTATTTCAATAATTTTAGTGTTATCGTAACTAACCATTATAAAGTGCTTAACAGAATGTATCATCCTAGACTGGGCAATTTATGGATGCTGAACGTTACATACAGAGTAATGCTGAAACATTCTGAAGAGGAGGAAAATTACGAAGTGGTTAAAGTCGATGATTATTTTTGACCGTCCAATTATGACTAAACAGTCTAAAATTCATTGAACCAGAAGCTTCGTTGCCATACTGCATAAGCAGTATCACTAGTTCAGCGCGCTTTAAAAGCAGTAGGTATCCTAACCATCGCACAAAGTATAAATAATAACTCGTTAAAAGATATATTGAAGTAAGTAAAATAGGTGGACTAAATAACTGATTATGATTGTAAAAGTACGCATTATGCGCAATTATCGAGTCATGATTGAATATAAGAACGGATTAAAATATTACTTTGTCAGAAATGTAAGTAGAAAGAATTATATTTCTTGACAATACACATCGCCTATTTTTAATCTATATGGGATACTGGGAAGGGTTTCTTATTACCACAAATGCAAACTATTGCATGGTATTGCACAGAAGATAAATAACTTACTCAAAGTTTTCTTAGTATGCCTGCTGGTATAAGTAATTATTCTATGTTTTTCTAATATTTGTTCGATGGATGCAGGCATAGATGTGCGTTTGTTACAAATGAACAGGCTGAAGTCAAGGATTGCGCTCTTCAAGAATTCAAGAAAATGAAGGAGAATATAGACAAGCTAGTTATTCATAAGTTTATTCATGCTACAATTCAAGATCGCACAGCTTGCAATCAGACAGGATGTTTTCAATCCACACCTGCATGCTGGAAAGCTCTTGCAGCAGTGGATTGTTGATTCGTACCTGCAGGTAGAGGCAAACAACCTGAACTACATCAGGATGAACCAGAGAAAACTCAGGGTCGAGCGATATAAGGGCCTGGTGGATTTCATGAACACAAACAACCCAAATGCACCGGGAAGACCTGTCATACTGCCATCGACATTCCAAGGTTCGCCGAGAAACATGAGAGAGCGCTTCTATGATGCAATGGCCATCGTCGCGAAGTACGGCAAACCGGATCTCTTCATAACAATGACGTGCAATCCAAATTGGAGAGAGATCAGGGACAATCTGTACCCAGGACAGACACCGGTTGACAGACCAGACTTGGTTGCCAGAGTATTCAAGCTGAAGCTGAACGAACTGAAGAAAGACCTGATTGCGAGCAGAGAATGAAAGCGTTTGTGTACAAAGTTGAGTTCCAGAAACGAGGACTTCCACATGCACATATTCTGATCATACTGAG